ATATATGTATATAGATATATACATATATGTATGTATGTATATATATATATATATACGATATTGGCTCATTTTTCTACTTCTTCTTATGTATGCGTGTTTATATATGATATATATATATATATACATATTTGTATATATAAACATTCTGCAGACTTCTTAATATCTAGATCTGTAGTGTCATCAATATATTAGATTGGCCGTATACAGTGGCTGGTATATAATATAATGTATTCTGGTTTATCGCTCGGCACTGCATTTCAGAATTAATAATTACAGTATGATTCAGACGCTGTATATATGATGCTGGCATAGCAAATGTATATTGTTCGATACGTGCACAAACTGGTTTACAGTACTCTGATCCATGTGAGCAGTACCTAGGTTTCCTACTTGTATGCTATCCGATCGAATCGCACTTCTTCAGTATATTTCAAGATCCGTGTATTGGTATCAACTCCCTTGTGTTGGAATCTGTGTGTTGGTATCAAAAATTATAGTATACCATGTTTTTGTTTCTGCGCGTCTTCTGATATATGCTTTTCTATATCCGCTTTAGTACAAGTATGTATGTTATTGCAACGTTAAAGATCATATTAAAAAGAGATCGAATTCTGTCTGCTCTTTCTCGTAGCTCTACAATACCATGTTTCATGAGTATGATTGTCGGGTATATAAAGCGTTCAACATGTGTTATTACTTTTATCTGAGACATACTCTGTATCATTCCCGGTATTCAGCTATTATTTCCATGGAAAACGACTAATTGGGCCCTCGCAATGTGGCACGGCCATTTTGTGTGTGTCGGTTGGGGGAGTGTCGTTTCATGATCACCGTACGCGAGAGGTAAGAACTGCATCACAATATACACATGCGAGTGGATAGATAATGAAGGATTCAGTTGTCATATCCAAGTGTAAATATATAGTAATAACCACCGACTGTGTTTTGGATTGTAAGTGCTTGTGAAGTGGGAGACCCGCAGTGCTCACGTAGTAGATATGTATAAAAACTTCGTTCTACGGGCATATTAACGGTAGATAGATTTCACATTTGCAGATATGTACGTATTTGCGTATTTGTGTGTATATGTACATACATACAAACATTCACTTTATATATATATATATAATGTATGTATGTATGTATGTATGTATGTATGTATGTATGTAATTGTTTTGCGTGTATGTGTCCTTAGGGCAATTCTCAAATCGATTATGTGGTACTGCAATCTACCGACGTAACTTTACTCAACTCGTAACATGGGTTTCAGGTCATAGGGCCTGTCTTCATTCCGTATAACAAAACTCTATCTATTCTCTGTATCTACATACAGATGTTTATATCCTGCTATATATTCCAGTCCCGTTTATACAACGGGCCCTTTTTATTAGATGCCATATTCTATATCAAAGCGTAAGCATGTACCTTTGTACAAACTTTTTTGAAAACCATCTATTCACAGATATATCTTTATCTCATATATTTACAGACTCGACTCCACTTTGGGCTGTCTACCATCAAATCATGGAGTTTGAACGCCCGATGTGTCAAGCTTAAAGTGCCTCCGACTCATTACACATTCTTTACCACTGACGGGGCCAGTATTAATAAAGTGCTTTTCGAAGTAATCGAGAAATTCAAAGAGGTGTGTGTAGAGTTGTATATGTATTTATTATGCCTACGTACGCGTCTATTCATGTATACAACCCCAAAGGAGTTGTGCCTGTATGGATATAGGCCACTTTATAGGAGTGTGTATTGATGCAGATGTTCTTGACACACCTAAAGACATATTTACAAATGAGTATCACAGCTTGCATATGCGTTGGGGGCCTGTCATTCCTGGAGTCAGACTTCAGATTTCTATATAATCCCGGACTTCAAAAAAAAAATCTGAGAGTGAACTCGTGTTTTTGTCTTGTTTGCTACCTATCGCGTACCACGCACACAAATCCGTGACAATGTCTATTTTTATTGTAGAATGTCCTACATCCATATACTCACGCACGTGTACTTACAATTTCACAAACCACAGCTCAACGCGATACGCAAGGAGCGTGCGGAACAAGACCATTTCGACGCTCTGGCACACATGAACAATGGTCCACAATCCGAGCCAAATCTCAATGTTGGCGAGGTATTTACGACACGTCTGGAATCTAAATCAGTCCTACATAGCAGCCCATCAGACTCATCAGCCCTCCATAGCAACCCATTAGACTCCAGGTCGTGTCCAAATCTGGAAAGCGGGGCTATGCCCTCTAAAAGCATACACTCAAAATCACATACACAACTTTTGGCTGATGATATAACTCATATGGAATCAAACTTCAGCTCACACCAGGGCAGGGGGAGTTCCGAACTCCTGGCCACACCTACCCATGCACACACCCAAACGCTACTCACAACCACACCTACACACACACGTGTACCACACTCGGATACAGCCACACACACACGGGCTCCTATATACACATTGGGATCGTCAGAATGTGGAGAGAGTGTCTGTGGGAGTGGACGTCTGAGTTCTCTGCGGGAGTGCACTGCTCAGCCGTTGTCGAGTCGGCGTACCTCTGCGCCAGGTATACACACAGGTGCAACGGCACACACCGCACATAAGCTAACCACTGCCTACGCATACTTTATAGCCACCAATACAGACAAAGACGGGTTTAAGGATATACCACTGGAAGACAGAATACTCGAGAAATCCATCCTGGACGACGAACCTGTCCCCCAGGAGCCCAGCTTTGGGTTGGGAGGTTCGGTACTTTCCCGTGTGGTTGCTAGTGAAAGAGAACATGCGGCTGTAACAGGTGAAACGAGCTTAAGCATTGTGCCACACGCTCAGCGACGTACTGTGGCAGAAACCTGTGAGAGCGAAGTTGACAGAGACAGTCGCAGTGAACAAGTGATTGACGCATTAGGAGGAGAAGGGAATTTCGGTACACCCGCCCTGCAGAGTTTGAAGTCATGTGCATCTGAGACGAAAGAGTTAGACAGCAATACTACAAATAGATATGGGGCCCGCGATAGAGCTTGTACTGATGTTGGCACGCACAGGGATGTAAGTGAGGCGAGTCAGGTACGAGACACACATACACGGTCACGAGGTGGATCAGAACCAGGCTTGAGTACTCTGCATGATGGTATTTTGAATGTGAATGATGGGGCTAATAGTGGGCCTCTGGATAGGATGCACAGTGAAACATCGAACAGACCTGTGAAGGACAAGTCCGCCTTCGAGTGGGTTACGATACGCCTGCCCACCCCGCCAAAGCCGTGGGAAACGCTGCCATTTATGGGGTCTGTGGACGAACTCACACCTGCGAGCATAGACTGGGGCTCTTTCAAAGGTGACTTGTTCGACATGAGCGCCAAGAAGATAAGGAGTACAAAGAGTCCAGTGGTTACCAGTGCAGGTGCAATGTAGCTTATACGCCCACACCTTGGAAACTGCTATGTATGGGATTGAGTGGTTTTCAGGGATTGGGTGGTTCCCTACCGTCGGCATGAACCTGGGCTCTGCCATTGCGAATCGCTTCACTTGTGTACTAAGGTACCAAAGGGTGCAAGTGGTCCAGTTTTGGAGATTACAGGTGCAACATGCCACTTCGGACCAAGCAGTTGAAACTGTGCGATACAAATTCGATCTTGCGGTCTGTGAATGTGTTGTCTTGTCCGAGACAGACTAGGGTTGGTCCATGGGCAGCACTCGGCAGTATGAAGGCCAGAGGACTCAGAGATCACCCCATCCAGCATGGTACAGAACTTTGGGAGCCATGTGGTATCTGCTCGCGAAGATGCTCCCTGCAACAGTAGTGCAGTTGTCGTATGGTCTACTAGAGGGTGAACAGCGCGTTATCGGGAGATGTCAACTGTTTGGAAGGATATGCGTTGTCTCAGGTGTTGGGAATATGATGCAATAAAAACAGTGCCACATGCATAGGGCAGATATTGTGCCAATGTATGAAGTATCCACACATACTGGCGAAGCTTAAAGATTTATTGGGGCGTGCAACGAACCAGCGAGCGATGCTTGGAAGCCCTTGTGAGACATTCATTGGGACACACAGGAACAACAACGATTGGCAGCTTCGTTGGTATATCTGAACGGAGGAACGCCTATCGTTTTCAACGCATCGCAGGAAGTACTGTATTAGAACATTGGCCCTTTCGACTTGAGTAGTGAAGAACTGAGAGCGCCTGCCGAGTCCCAAGCGAAGTGCAGGGCCAGTGCTACAGCCGGAACCACCGAACAGCCACCCTCAAAACAAGTCCCAGCTAAAAAAGGGATGGGGGTGAGATATACACCGTCTAGTTTTCCACCTAAATATGGGGTGGATATGATACGCCAGGGTATCAAACAAACACTCAATCGATGAATACGGGCAGCAGTTTCACCCATTCCACCTTCGTTAGCAAAACAATGAAACTGCCGGTAGCTAACCTTTCCCGGTATTTACGTATATTTGGTGCTGGATCTATACATCCTCGTGAAGGAACACAGTCTGTTATTGCGCCCCAAGCGTCTTATTAGATTCTGGTGTGCATCTCACCTATAGTGCACTGTGTAAGAGAAGTATCAGGTTCTGGTCATGATATATTTAGCTTGCAATAAATAACATGGTTGTACAGCAACAGTTGTATAGTATACCGATTATATCGCAGGTGGGAACAACAATTGGACCTCGACAGTAGCAATGAAGGTGTCGGGCCGGGCAGTGTGTTTGTCACGTCAACATGTTGTATTTAGCTGTTGGTAGTATGAACTATGTATCATATCCAATTTACGGATACCGAACTTCCAAACAGTACAGCAGATAGAATGTCGAATGCAATGGCTCGGCTGCGTTCATTCATGTTGAAGTTTGCAATGCTTGCTACTGTACACCTTGTATTAGACTTCAAGGTATATATAGATACAACCTGTTTCAGGAAAATAATTACATATATATATATATATATATATGTATATTATATATATATATATATATATATATATATACTACCATACAAAGTATTGTGCTATGTAATTTTTATTTATATAATAATTATATCGTTTCGAACACTTCACTGGCGCACGATATTCAGATGTTTGTCTAGTAATATTGGTCATCTACTGGCAAGGATAATTGGCTACCAAACTTGTGTAATCAATTGTTGCGTTCGGTTGCGTACTAGGTGTTTGCGTAGTTGTTGCCGATGTCTTGATACCAGCACGATCGGTGATAGCTACAACGGCTGTACAAACATCAAAAGGCACATTGATGGAATATTTATTACCCCCGGACTCGATGGTGGTGGTTTCGGTGATATCTCAGGTATCATTTGAGCGCCAGTCATTCGATTAGTAGTCAGGTTTAATAGTAACGCCTGTGAAGATAACATTGTGTTAGCCACAAACCTCTAGTATGTTCCTAAAATGGATTGTGCGTTCCTGACTACCTAAAATCAAGGTTCGATACCAAATTCCTTTGTTTCGGGATGCACGGAAAGTACTCTGAGCTTGTACACGCAAACATGTTTAAGACTGCACTGTCGTATCTGGTTGATATTAGTAAGTTGGATAGCTTCGAAGTGCTACAGTAACGGTTGCTTGAGGTGACTTAGTTGCTTTGTTTCTAGTTCGGTGAGATTCGTTTGAAATTGTTCATACGCATTTCTTGTAAGTGACTCGGTTAGGTTCGTTGTGAGTGTGGTTCAGTTAAGTTCGTTTAAAGCGCCATACTTACGGTCGTTGGGAGTGACATTGGCAGATTTACGTTAATTCGTTGAAGTACATTTAGAGTTGCTTGAGACGATACAGGTACATATGTAACAGATGCACATAAAGCAACAATCGCTATAAATATACTTATTATCGCACCGTGATGACCCTTCTAGAAAATCTTGTGTAGAAAATGGATCTGGCTCGGAGGATGGCGGAGATTCAGACATTGAACGCCTTATGCTACACTGCTTGAACGAGAGACGCAATTCTAGAACGCCCTGTCATGTATCAAGGAGAGTCTAGATTTCGTCTTCAGTAAGTCAGTTACGCTTCTAACTACTCATATGACATATTTGAAATTTACTTAGGTGAGGCTCGCAAGGCTCCATGGTAAAATGTGGTGCATTCGATCTGATCTGTGTCAGTGGGATTTCGAAAATGGCATGGTCGATGGAAGTAGGATATCAGACATCAGACAATCCGCAAACGTATGTGTTGATCGTGTTGTCCCGTCGTCACTTGAGGACTCATCACTCATCACCGTCATCAATCATCACTCAACTTCTCAAATCTCAAGGACTGGTGGGGTCTCGAATTCTCGATGAAGTGAGGACCAATAGTATATAAATATTGATACTTTGCAAATATTTTTGTCTTTTCTTTCTCACAACAAATATTAAATAAAATAATAGAATACATGTGTCTGTATGTATTGACTGGTCAAGTTGTCATATGTATGGTATCATGATGTTAGGTTTATACACTATACGGTACCAGGTTTAGCATGTCGGAAATACGTTATGGTATGTAAATATGGGCTATAATAACAATGTCCCCACATGGGCTGTGATAGCGGTAACAGCCATATGCAGTATAGCAATAACAGTCGCTGTGCAGCGCATATCTTCGCCTGCCGATGAGGGCTCTGGCAATAAAAGAGGTTGTAAAAGCAAATCATTACGGAGCAAGCAGAAGAGTATCGATGCAAAAGATGTGGGGGGTAAACAAGGGACTCTACGCGGTATTTGTGAAGAAGAATCATTTTCGCCGCCATTGCCAAGTGTTGTAGTAAATGTACTTAAGACGTCTGGCTTAAGTTATTTGGCTACGGTGAATGCGGAAGGTGAACCACATCTTTCTCTGATGGCGTTTACGTACGTGCAAGAAGATGAGAAAATCGTACTCTCAACTAGAAGGTGTGTTTCATACTTTTTATTGTAGAATACGAGATAATTACTGCATCACGCAGCAATTTTCCATTCTCGTTGTCCTGCTGCAATGCAAAATTGGGCTACGATTGTCGTCAACGGCAGTCATTTTGAGTACTGTAATTAAAGGTTACAAACGGTGGCGGATCTTTGTTTCTCGAACGGTACCCTTGATAGTACAAGTGTCAATATATATACATATATATTTATATATTTCGATACATATATATAAATGTTTTAGTATATATATATATCTATATCTATATATATATATATATATATATATATATATATATATAATATATATATATNTGTGTGTGTGT